CCGCCCAGCTCCGCTGTGCGTGTGTCTCCTGAGCGTCCTCCGGTCTGCGGGGGCTGGCCACACCCGCACACACGTCGCCTGGCCGACTCCCACTCTAAGCGGGTCTCCGCGTGACCTCACAGCGGAAGCAGGTGAGGTCTCCACCACCAGGCCTCCGAAGACAGCTGCTGAGAAGGCTCACCCCTATTTTGTAAAACTACTGTTTGGAATTCTCTGCTATTCTTTAGACGGCCTCTAATTCTAAAAAAAAAGAATAACTTTGCTTTCCAGCCTGCTTTGGCCTGCTTGGATAATGAGGAAGGTAAACTAGCTGTCTGACCTTGCAGGCCAGAGACTAGCTACGCCCATACTCTCAGTGCCAGGCCCGGTGTATTTTTTAATTGGATGGAGCTGGTAGTTACCAAGGCCACCAGCGAGATAACCACGAAGCACACCTAGGGCTGGCCCTTTCATAAAAAGGGAAGTTCCGCGTGTAGCTCTGCTTAGGATTTGAATTCGTGTCCTCTGAGCCCACCGCGGGGAATAAAGTGTGACTCCGACCTCTGAGCATCGCTCGATGGATTCCGGGTCTCTGTAACAGTGCGAGAGCTCTGGGGGCCGGGGCAGTGCCCGTGCGCAGCGGGTGAGTGCCCGCTCTCACCCTCCTCGGTCGGATGGGGAAGCCAGGATCCCAGGCTCCGTGTGGGCTTTCCCCCCGCCTCGCTGGTGGCCTGGACCCAGGGGACACAGCGCCTGGGGAAGCTTGAAGGCCGGGGAGCCTCAGACAAGTCTGAGCGGCTCTCATCACCGGGAACCCGGAGGGCCCGCAGCACCTCGCGCCCGGAGCCGCTTCTGCCCCAGAGTGTGGCTCCCACCAACCTCATCGGGCGGACCCTGGGTGACAGGCGCCGTCACCACCCCTTCGAGGTATTTCTCAAGTACGCGGGAAGCGAAGCCTGGCTAGGGAGGGGTCTGCTGTTTTCTGGCCGCTGTCCCCTGCCTGGTGGCCACCTGCCCGTCCTCTGGAGCCAGGGAAGAGGGAAGCCGCCTCCCTGCCCACTCCTCCCAGCTCTGGCCATGTCTGACCTCCAGCCCCACTGCCACCTACCAGCTCAGGGCATGTGGGGAAGCGCCAGTGAGCTTATTGCAAAAGCCCCCGAGAAGCCCCACTCCAGTCTGTTTTGAGGGGGCGCCGGAGCCCCCCCCAGGCCGTGCTGGTCCCCACCCCATCTCCCGACCTGACCACTGTGTTTGGGTTTGCGTTCTGTGGCTGCCTCTGACCCTCCTGCCTTCCTCTTCCCCCCCATCTCTTCCCAAACACAGAAGTGAGAGGCCAGAGAGAAACGGCCTCGCTGGTTCTAGGGATGGGCCTCCGACCAGGTCCGCACTCCCAGGCAGCTCAGCTCGCACACCGTTTTTGTTTGTTTGAATATATTTTTATTGATTTCAGAGGGGAAGGGAGGGGGAGAGAGATGAGAATCATTACCGCACACCTGGGACCAAGCCCGCAACCCGATCACGTGCCCTGACCCGGAATGGAACCGACCCCCCGGGCCACAGGTCTGTGCTCAACCACCGAGCTGAGCCGGCTGGACTCCAGCTGACTGATGCAGCCAACGTTTGCGAGAGAATCAGCAGGTGACGCAGACACGGCGCACACGCACCTCTACACCGCCCGCCTCCCGCTAGCGCACCCCGGACCTCAGGCCTGTAGCGGGAAAGTGCCTGTTCACTGTGTGGGTGGGTGCCACAGCGTTAATGCGTGCAAGGGGTGCCAGCGTTCATAGGGAGCCTGTCCTTCACGCATCCCTAAGCCCTTTCCACACAGCGTGGTTTTCCTTGAGGACCATGTGATAGCAGAGACGTGCAGTCATTTCACAAACTTCGTTGGTTCCAGTTATGTCCTTGGAAGGCGATGACATTCCCTGCGTGTCCCTCCTGTTTGGTGGGTGTTTCTTTCCTTTTCCAGCCCCTTCTCAGCTGTGAGAGTATTTTCAGGTTTGCTGTCCTGCAGGTAATGGAGGACATCTCTGGCCTCGGCCACTGCTTAGGGAGGAGCAGAGAGGAAAAGCCAGGCCTCAGATCTGGGCACAAATGGTAGGAAGGGCCTGCAGTTGGGACTAATGTTATTTTGTGTGTTTTTATAAATATATTTTTTTATTGATTTCGGAGAGGGAGAGCAAGATAGAAACATCAATGATGAGAATCATGGACTGGCTGCCTCCTGCACGCCCCCTACTGGGGATCAAGCCTGCAACCCGGGACCCTGCAGTCCGCAGGCTGATGCTCTACCCACTGAGGCACATCGCCAGGGCCGGCCCCTCCTCTTGAAACCACATTCCTCCTCCTCCCAATGCCCCATCGGACTGAGACAGAAGGTCTGAGTTACTTTGGGTGCGGAAGCCAGAGTGACTGGGAAACAACCCCGGCCCTGAGCGCTCGCCCTCCTGTGGGTGCTCCTCCTGTGGGAGCCCCTCCTGTGGGTGCCTCCCTCCCAAGGCGTCTGGTCTGCAGGACTGAGAGGGACATGGCTTCCAGGGACGGCTGCGAGGGGCGTGCTGTGCGGCCTCACTGGTTGGGGGTGGTGGAGCCCAGAGCTGTTTCGTGGGGTTCTCCAAGTCCCCGGCCAGTTGCCGGGAGTCCGCTGGGTAGACCCGTCCTGCGCCCTCGGACCAGGTTAGATGGAGGCTCCTTCGGCAGAGCCAGTGCTCACCAAGGGGCACCAGCGACCCCATGAACGAGGTGGCACCCAGGGCCTCTGCCCGAGGAAGTGCGGCTGGCCCCTGGGGGCCTCTGAGGAACCCAGACCCGGCGGCTTGTGCCGCTGCCCGGGGCACCCGTGTCCCCACAGCATCCCCCGCATCCAAAGGACGGGCTTTCCCTGCTACCAGCTGAGGAAACCCCTCTCACAGAGCAGCAGTCAGCACTGAAGTTTATAAAATTGTACTCAATAAAACTGCCTGGATAAGCCGTATTCTGACTGACTCACCACTCTGTACGGGCAGCCAGCAGCCCCGCCCCACCCCTGGAGTCTGAGGCCCCTTTCCCAGGTGTGGGACCCAGGTGGGGGCGTGGCAGGGACCATGGGGTGCCGCATAGGCTGTGTCTGGGGCCTGGGAACTGTGTGTCCGCCGTCACTTTCAGCCAGAAGGAGGTGGCGTTTGGACCTGCTTTCTACCACGCTGCTGCTCATGCCTGGGGGCTCCCAGCCCACTGCGGCTGCCCCCCCAGATTCAGGCTGGATGCCGCACTTCACCCATTCCCATCGCGTCTCCCTGTCCCTGCCATGAGCCACCTCCCCATTGTCCAAACCTGAACCCACAAATCGGGACCCCAGAGCCCAAGCCCGAAGCCAGAGCCTGCCGCCTCCCTGCCCACTCTGGTGTTTATACTCCGAAGGCTGGCAAGGTGGGCCCCACAGCTACTTCTCAATGGAACATACTGAAAAGACAGAAATGCCGTGGACACAAAAGGCCGGTTTATTGCTTCTAGGACACACACACCGGGAACCACTGTCCACCGTGAGAGAGGACTTCAAAGCCAGAAGGGAGCCACGGGCTGCTCAGGGTCACACCACCTGCCGGCCCCGCCAGGCCCCTCTGCCCAGCGTGACGGGATCCTCCCGGGCCGGCTCCAGGGGTGCCCTCGTCCTTGGCCCAGGCGGTCCCGCTGCCCCTGGACATCCAGTGAAATTCCTCCCCACCCACCAGGCACCGCTGAGCCAGCAGACAGACCCTCAGGAGGTCGTGGACACTGCACCTCCCACTTCGCTGAGTAATCTTTGATCAAGGGAGGTGACAGCACTGACATGAATCATCACGTCCCCAGAATTAAAACAACCTTTTGGTGAAGGACAAGGAGAGGAACCATGTGGGGAGGGCAGCGCCCTTGTGAGCTGAGAGAAAGACGAGGTGGTGCAAGCGGTGTCCACCAGGGCCCCAGGCAGGCACCCCGGCCAACCCCCCGCCAACTCCATCATGACCGAGTCCACATTTCTTTAACCCTTGACATGGGTCCCAGCAGTTCCCACAGCGGGCGCAGGCAGGCCCCAGCCCACCAACAGCAAGCGTGTGCATAGGCCTTAGTGCTGTGGCCGGTGCTGGGTCCTCAGGGGGCACCAGAGACCCCTTAGGTGTCTGAAGATTCACGAGGGCCAGACAGCAATCTGACCTTTGCCCCCAAGAACATCCTATCTAATAAAAGAGAAACATGGTAATTGGCGTACAACCGCTACCCTTTTCATTGGCTGATCAGGGTGATATGCAAATTAACTGCCAACTAAGATGGCGGTTAATTTGCATATGTAGGCACAATGCAGGGAGGCGAAAGGGAAAGCAGGAAGAAGCCCCCTGCCACTGACAGTGACCGGAAACCCAGGGGGGAGCTAAGAGCTGTGATCAGAGAATACGGTGCCTTTGCTGCCCAGGCCAGTGATAGCAGGAAGTAGGGGTGGAGCCAGCGATGGGAGCTGGGCACAGTCGAAGCTGGCAGTCCCGGGAGCTAGGGGTCCCTTGCCTGGGCCTAAAGCAAAGCCCACGATCGCGGGGCCACTGCAGCTGCAGGTCCCTGCTGCCCAGGGGCGGAGCCCGCGCAATCGCAGCGTCCCCCACTGCCACTGCAGGTCCCCGCTGCCCGGGCCGGACGCCTAGGCCAGAGACGTTAGGCCTGGGCAGGGGCAGAGCCTGCAACCGCGGGGAGCTGGGGGTCCCCTGCCCAGGCCTAAAGCCTTGGCCAGAGGTGTTAGGCCTGGGCAGGGGCAGAGCGGGAGATCTCGGGGAGCTGGGGGTCCCCTGCCTAGGCCTGATACCTCTGCCGGAGACCTCAGGCCTGGTCAAGGGGCCGATCCAGTGATTGGTGATTGGAGGGTGATGAGGGTCAACTCCTCTGGCCGAGGCATCAGGCCTGGGCGGGGGGCTCCCCTGCCCAGGTCTGATGCCTGGGCCAGAGGCATCAGGCCTGGGTGGGGGGCGGAGCCGGGTATTGGGGGATATGATGGTCTCCTTGCCCAGGCCTGAAGCCTGGGTCAGAGGCGTCAGGCTTGGGCGGGGGGTGGAGCAAACGATCAGAGGGAGATGGGGGTCCCCTGCCCAGCCATGATTCCTGGGCCAGAGGTCTCAGGCCTGGGCGGGGGCCAGAGCCAGTGATTGGGGGGAGATGAG